TTGTTCAGGAGTGGAAGAAAATGGCACAGAATAAATACAGCGGAAGATCAGCACTTGAAATTATTTAAGAAAGAGCTGAAATATAAAACTGTATGGAGGATGAATCTGGTGTCTTCAATTTCCTGTTCCAGATGTTCTGTTTAACATATCATTAGAGAAATTCCATCCACAACTTCTCAAATAAGTTCGATATCCATCGCTAGGGTCCACAAATCTTCTTCAGAAAAAAATTACGCCATTGAGAAGCTTCAGGTTTTATAACTGATAAGATGGTATTTTTTTATAAATGATTAGATTTTTGAACATAATAAATACACAGTAGTTGAAGCTGGAATATTTTTGTCCCTTAAAATACAACTTATGTCTGAACGCCCTTGAAATCGATATAATTTTGTTTAAAATTTATGGCAACTTAAGATTGCTTTCTTGACTAATTTTAAACATAGCTTTCTTGTACCGGTTAATATTAATATAAGTAATGCATATTCAGAGTTACAATTTTTATTTCATATAATGTTAGTACATGTCATATGTCATATAATGCTATATAGTATCTAAAGGTATATTCTTCCAAGCAAATTAAAGTTCTAGAGATTTTTCTCCCGTGTAATGTCGATATTTTTAAAGATGTAACATTATGTCATCAAAATTATCAAAAGTTAAGTGCTGTTTAGAAAAATGTCAGAATTAACTCCTTATATGAGAAAACAATTTAAACAATATTACTATACAGATTCTTGTTTAGAATAGCATAGTTTATTTCAGAGCATATTTTACATAAATTTCTATTTTAATTTTTGAAGCATTTACATCAGAAAACATTCACTATGATATAGAAAATAAATATTATCCATCAAATCGTATTCATCCAAAATCATTAAGCATTCCGCAATGCCAGTAACAAAAATACTTAAACTCACAAAGAAAATAGAATAAGCTAAGGAAAATGCAACATATTATGAATTCCTTCCGAGGTTTTCAGAAATTCCTATTTACAAAGAGCCCAAAATATCTTCATGAGATCTACATTTCATAGCCCAAAGCTTTCAAATCTATCATAAAAATGCTGATTTTAAGCAAAGAATATAACATTGTCTGCCGAGAAAAACAGTCTTGTAGATAAAATCACGTTCTGATTATGTCTATGAAGATTATTTACGTGCAGAAAACTATTACGTGCAGAAACACATAAAAATTGCAATTTAGAAATTTCTTGCGATTTTGTATTATTTTTGGTATAAAGCTATATATAAGAAGCATATTATACTTCTTCAGATATTCAAATAACTGTGAAAATTAATAATGGAGCAGTTTCTTGGATCTATTGTCTGCATTTTAAAGTCGAACATATGAGAAGTAAAAATGTTATTTTAGTTAATAAAAACTCCCGTGTGTTAAACCGAATGACGAATAACAAATTCAAATATCACTATGATTCATTTTCGTGGTTTTCCCCATGTGTAACGTGTATACGAGCCAGTTTCCCTTAGAAAGTCCTCCACGAAGGCATCCCTCCCCTTAGGCAGATAGCCCTCGAGGCTTTGCCATAATCACACACACACACAAACTATGATTCGTTATCATACCTTACGCAATCTTTCAAAACAAATATAAAATATGAAATGTAAAACACTAAAATCAGGAATTCGGAGAATAAAAACTTTTTGACAGGTATTGCTCAAATTTTAAGTTTTTCTCCAAGTAGTGAATTAGACTTTCATCCATACATCAGAATCTTTCAATTATGGTAACAAAAAAATTTTCCAGCATAAAAACCTGTATCCGTTATCTTATAAATTTGTTTCTGTTATCCCTTCTCTCCTTTTATCATGTTCTACTCAACAGATGGCGTTAAATATCCATTGCTTTGGAAAGGGTGAAAAACTAGTTTTCTGAGAGGCGTTTAGAAAAGGAAATGGAATTTGTGTTACGTCGTCCGTTTACGTTTATGATGTGTTGGTTTACGTCGTTGGTCTGTGAGAGAATTATTACATCATTATGGCATATTACTGTACTTCTTTATTCTTTCATTAATTTTAATTTAGTCTAATTACGATTTATCGTAGGTAAAGATGTATTTAAAATTTACTGCAAATTTACTAATTTCTATTTGTGTGAAAGTCGGTTATTAAATTTAAGTTTTGTTTATTCTTGTTTTATTTCCGCACAAAATGCAGAGATGTGGAATGAACTAATAGCATTTTAAATAGTCCAAAGTTAGTTAAAATTCGTTGTCTACTTAATGTATGTAGGAAACGCCCCTGTTTTTAATATAATAAGCACGCAACATGTTTCAGCTAGACGCTTTGTGGTACATAATTATATTTTAATTATTTTAAGTGATTTCCGTTATTCAAATTAGAGTATGCAAATTTTAAATAGTCAAATAATAAGGCTAGAGGCATATGGTGTTTAATTGCATTTGAGACTACATTGGTGTGCAAATATTAAGGACGAAGTCGAAAAATTAGCATATCAGCTGAACGAAGAGGCAGAGCGGACAGAAAGACCAATCAGGAGATTAAGTAAGGTGATGTACGGTAGCACATGCGCAGATATGCAGGTAGACGTAATGGAGGAGTGTCTGCGTAGTATAAAGCGTGTTGTAGGTGTAAGATCAGTATTTCTGGCAAAGAGATTGCACGCCGTATAGCAGTTAAAATCACATCGAGTTGCTGCCTCAGCGAGAAATGGCGAATAATCAATCTGTTAGACGACATCTGGATGCCTTTACCCGAGGTCGAATCGTTGGGATGTTGGAGGAAGGCCGCAGTGAGAAGTGTGGCTGCAGAGTTCGGAATTGCTCACAGCATCGTTTCACGACTTTGGAGACAATTTCAAACTACAGGAACAGCTATCCGGGGGTTTAGTAGTGGTCGTCCACGAGGAACCACACCCGCAGATAACCGGTATATTGCCTTACAGGCCAGAAGAAACAGGCGGCAGACAGCGGGAGAAATCGCTAGACACACGACACAGGCGACTGGACGACTGATATCGCGTTTTACCGTGGCCAGAAGACTGCACGGTGGTGGTCTGTTGGCACAACGCCCTGTACGGTGTGTACCTCTAACGCCTGCCCATCGGAGAAGGCGTTCTCTGTGGTGCCGGGAACACCGGAATTGGAGAGACAATGAATGGGGACGAGTACTCTTTACAGATGAGAGCAGATTCAGTCTGAGTAGTGATTCTCATCGCATACTCATCTGGAGAGAGCGGGGAAGTCGCAATCATCCCTCGAACATCATTGAAAGGGACAGGTATGGAGGTGGCGGTGTTCTCGTTTTGGGAGGCATCATGCTTGGTAGTCGTACAGACCTTCACATCTTCGACGCAGGTTCAGTTAACGGAACCTGTTATTGTAACGAGATTCTTCTTCCATATGTGCGTCTTTTTAGAGGCGCTATGGGTCCGCAGTTCCTTTTCATGGACGTCAACGCACCATGTCATCGCACAGTAACTGCCGAACAGCTCTTAGAGAGTGAGAATATTGAACGTATGGATTGGCCGGCACGATCTCCGGATCTCAATACCATCGAGCATGTATGGGATTTTCTAGGCAGACGCTTGGCAGCTCGTACCTTAGCACCAGTAACGATTCCGGAGCTTCGATTGGCGCTGCAAGACGAATGGGCAGCAATGCCTCAACAACTCATTGACACCCTCATTCCCAGCATGGGCAGACGCTGTGAAACCTGCCTAGCAGTCAGGGGAGATCATATCCCCTATTAAAGACCGGATGTTTCTTGCTGGACACCCATCACAGGAATGTTTCGGCCTTCAGTAGCATTGCGCTCCATGCTACTTTTTCAATAAAGCTTCTTTTTATCCCTCTGATTTCTCTTTTAGTAAGTGTTGCTTACATTACTCATGTCCTTACGTATTGGGAATCTTACGGTATTAAATGTGTTGATTTTGAAAGCTTTTGTACAAAGTTATATTGAAAAAAACCGTCTCGTCCTTAATTTTTGCTCACCAGTGTACATTTGCATGCAAGTCCGACTTAGCTTCTAAGATTATATCATGACACCAAATATCAGACTGTTTATAAAGTGCTTGAGTTCAAAATTTTACAGCTAGCTATATTGTTGCTAAAATATGTGCCAATAAATTCTGTACATTAGATATCGTGATAAAAGCGACATTTCGAGGTTCATGCAGACAAAGACGCAATAAAATTCAGTTTAAGTTTTAATGAATCTACACGACATTTAACTTGAAATTATAATACAAGTTACAGTCTACTTGACTAAAAATTGGTTTCAGTATAAGATTCACAGCTCAGTTTTACCCTAGGAGAAAGCACAAACCCTAATAGTAACAAGTTAAACCTTCAGTTGTAGCTTACCATTTTACAACACTTTTGCGGAATCAACTACACCAGAATAAAGCCAGGATTAAACAGGATAAAGAAGCTCACAGATTTCTCACAGATCCATAGTTTTGCTCGCATGCTCAACCGCCCTCAGCCGCAGGCTCGAATTAACGTTCTTCAGACAATAGGACCATGGTTACAGTTAACCTAGTTGGACTCCTATGCTCCTCTCAGAAATTTACATAACCATCTGGAGAGAACGAGCAGAGTGACTAAGTAAAAATCAATAGAAAGATACAAACTAAAAACAAACTTGTTAGTTAAACTGATGTTTTTTTATAGCTAAAACTGTAAAGAGAATTTAATAATGAATTTTTAGAAAAAACACGTACGTTGTTATTAGTACTGGCAGATCGAATAGCTGAAACAATGTGCGAATACATCTGGACATGGCTTGCTGCTAACCAGTAAAATATTGCAAATCTATTAAATCTATCAAATATTGTAAATCTATTAAATCTATTAAATATTGCGAATATAGATATTTTATTGTTGTTATTTACCAGACTTTATGCTTTGCCTAATATTCCTACATCGCTATGATATGTTCCATTTTTTACTATTATTGCTGTAGATTATACTATTTGTTATAACATTTATTATTCCTTTAGGTTGCTTGGATAAAAGTGGACACAGAGACTTTGCTCAGCTACCATACCCATGTGATTCCTCGTGACAACCGATTGAAGGTGACCAACAGTAACAGTGACCGTCAGTGGTTTCTCCATATCAAAAATCTCGATGTGTCTGATCGAGGATTTTACATGTGCCAAATTAACACAGAGCCTATGATAAGCCAAGAAGGTTACTTGGACGTAACTGGTTAGTGATATTACTGCATACTCACATTTACCTTGCTTTCGCTTTTTTGATTTCAGGTCATACATGATGTGCTTCTGGCGAATTCGCAAAACTTACACGTTGCCTTATAGTATTAATTCTAAAGATATACACTGCGCGAGAAATGCAACACTATGAAAAATGGGTGAAATGTGATGTCAGCTGATACGAAAACAGAGCATCCGTATGCAAATAAGCGATGCTATTTATAGAAAGATAAATTTATACATTTGTAAGGCCTCGTTTAGTTTATTAACCAGTTATTTTATATTAATTTGGCTTCCTGTCCTCATTGTTTCCCATTTTCCTGCCAGAATGTAATACACGCGAATTTTTAATTCGAATACATACCACTTTCTAATTCGCTTGTATTCAAATGTGCTAGATAGGAGATAGTATATAAAAGACAGTTTTAAAGGGTAGAATTAGAGCATGTTTTGCCTGCTGAAGGCAATGTTACTGATTTGATTTTCTTGAGAGCAGTATTCTGAGGCGGTGCGTTATTCTCCCAATTAGGCTTGTTACTCCGACTTAAGCCATTAGTTCAGAGCCGACTTGCGCCTTACTCTACTTTTTTAGCCGTTAGGCTAACTTACCTTAATTTAGTTAAGTCAAATTTAATACTGTTGATTTAATCCATAAATGCTGGCTTTTGTAAGCACGAGTGGTGCCTTAACTTTTATTTTTTTTCAATTAAAAAGGCCTCTGCACACTTCAATTAAAGTCTCTCTTTATGCAGTCTCTATGATATTTTACAAGACATAGTGATAATTCACTGTAAGTGTTAAGACGTTTCGTAAATTTTATGTTACCAAATAAAGCGAGACGTTAACAGTGCTGAATTATACAGACAATCCTTTGAAAATGAAAGCCAAGGACAGAAGTGAAAAAAAAAATATGATTTCGAAAGTTTAAGTTTGCTTTATCATGAATACTACATTTAATATTTAAGCATCAAACTATTATTAACTGAAACTTTATGTAAGCTTTGTGCATCAAGAACTTTATGTGAGATTTGTATAACTGTGTTAATTTTGAAATGCTGCAGTTTAGAGAGGTTTATAATAAGTAGTTTCTATTTATCAAAAATGAAGGAGAAATTATCAAATTAAAATGGAGAATGAATAGACTTTTACAGATTAAAGCTAAAAGTTTGCTTTATGGATTCTTTTATATTACATGTGTATGCATTCTATAATTGGGTGAATTCTAAAGGTGTTTGTGGTGAAAAGTATAAAATAAAATCTTAATTTGCTCATCATTCTTTAAAATAAAATCCTTTACTCTGAAAAAAACATATCATGCTTTGAAATATTGATTACATTCGTTTCAAACTAATGCTGCATATATGATGCAATAACTTGTTTTCTGTTTAATTAATTACAATTTGCTTTAGTTACAACCTGGCATCTTTTCTATTTTAGTAACACTGCTAATTAAAATTATACATTTCCATCTAAAGTGTATAAATATATGATTAACATTTTTACTCAAATACTTAAATTCCCTGTTGTCTATATTTGATCTTATATTTTAATCCGTACAACAACAGGCTTTTACGCGAGTGAGAACCTTATAAATTAAGTGCACGCCTTTCTGGCGGAGTTCTGTCATAAAGGTGCTAACACATTTATATAAGGCGACTGTTTACCAAGGTAGAAACTTTCACAAGGGTGCGTCAGCCCATGAAGGTATTTTCAGCCTTAATGATGATCAGTTTATAGTCAGTAGATAGCAAACCTGCGCAAAACTGCTGCTGCAGAAATCTGCAGTGAGGTATTCATTATTAATCAGAATAGTAACCTAAAAGTCTATTTACAGCTCCGAAATGAAGATTCCCTACTTTTGCGAAATTTACTTTTTTTGGTGACTGAGTCGTTAAAATCGTGACACTGTTTTAATATTAACTTGCTTTTCTGTACAGAACATGATAGAATTTTTTAAACGCAATCTATAAATATATAGATCTTATGTACATTTTAATTAATTTTTATAGAAAAATTCTTTTCGTATCTAATCACGCCACTTGTCAGCTTAGTAGGCACTTACGTCGCAGTTAGCTTGAAACGCGCAGCAGTATGAAAGATTCATTTAAATCTAGACTTTAGATCAAAATTTAATATTTTAAACCGAAAATTCTAATTTATCATCAAATAAATCTTTTCGTAAAATAGAATAATAACTCCTTTAGCCTAAAAAATTTTTACTCTAAAAATATAGTAGTAAAATTCATTTTTTCAGTACCTCTGTATTGTGCGCGTATTTTGTGAGTAGATTTTGAGTTGCTTTCCATTCAAAGGTTTTACTTGACAATGAATTAATCATCAGCACCTTACGTCTAATAAATACAGGTAAGAAGAAAATATCTTGTTAAAACCGTAATATAATGCCTCTTTTCGCTTTTGTTCTAAAATTAGCATTTGTTTAATGGGATATCTAAATATTATAATTTAATTAAAATTCTCATGTATTTAAAACCTTCTAAGGCTTATTATAAAGGAAATTTCATTTGCATCATATTTTCATAAAATTTGCTAACATAGTAAAGATTGTCTTGGAATTTGTATAATGCAAATTTGTGCTAATTATTATTCGCCTTAGTTCCGCCGTCCATCGTAGAAGACGCTACCAGCACAGATATGACGGTGGACGAGAGGTCAAGAGTTAGTCTGAGGTGTCGAGCAGCAGGATATCCTACACCTCGAGTTTCTTGGAGAAGAGAAGACGGCAAGGAAATCAATCTTGGTCCAATGGGAGCTCAGAAAAGCTCAGGTTAGACCTTTTGAATTTTGTTATTAGCATTTCTGTGTTAGCACTGCATGTCAGCGTAGATAAACAGCGTCTTAAGAACACTGAAAGTAGTAAAATTAATTACATTTATATTTTGCCTATTATGAAATTTAAGATGATTTTGTATGTGAGGGAATTAAAAGTTTTTACATTTAGATGTGTGAAACACAAATCTTAAAACGCGTTTTGTGTATTGAACTAGAAGGTCAGTGGCTATATCAATGTATTTAGAAATATTAATTCCTCAACTGTTTAAAAAGACTGACTATTTATAACCTTAACTTTTATTTCATTACATTTAAGAAAAACATTTAATGTGGTAATCATTAAGAGCAATGTATTCTGCAGATGATCCGTTTCATTTCTGCGGGTTGCTGAGGAAATAGCCTGTGGAATCAGTCAAACTTTAAAATTAATACTGTATAAGACTTCTAAGCAAATTCAAATTATAATTTCGATATTTGTACATTTGTACATTTTTAATATAGCATAATATATATAATTTCATGAGAGTAAAATATTTGGAATAAATATTAACTTTATTATTTAAAAGGGTAGTATTTTAATCTCTTTTTAATGAAGGGTAGCGTTCAGAACATAATTTTCAGTAATTTGAAAAAAATTATAAATAAGCTTTGCCCCGTTCCTATGAAACATTTTCTGTATGTTCAAGTGCTTTTTTTTTAAATCTGAAGTAACTTTTTTTCTATTTTTTCTGTATTTGTGTTTTTTTTTAAATTCTACTGACCACAATTCTGAGAAATAAAATTTTATTCTCCTTGGAATTAGGAGAAATGCATCGTTTTTCATTATACATCTTTGAATATGTATTCCAATCTATACAATTCCCTGAACTGATATGAAGAAAGATTTCATAATATAAAATGCTCCTTTTAGAGTTAAATATGGCTGCCTGAAATGTCAAAGCCATATTTATCACATCTGAAGTGAAAACCTGGGATGACCAGAGACTATCGTGACCCCTACATTGTAAATATCACACATCTTATTAGCTGTTTTAAGTACTTTTTATTTCTTTACATTCACCGCAAGAATGGCAAATCAAATGTACAGGTTGCTTGCAGTTTTGAGACACCTTTCTGACAAAAAATTGAATGCGCTCTAGTAATCTGATTAATTAATTAAACGGACTGGATGACCATTCAGTATGTGCTCTAGGTCACATGTCCTAGGTTCTGCTCCAGGTTCCATTGGATATCTGCATTATTAGAATCAAGATACTTCAAACTGAAAGTCTGTAAAAACGTTATATATTAAAGTAAACACAACTTTTTCCCTTTTCAGGCTATCGGAAAACGACGCTTAATACTAAAAATGAAAAGTCATGTGACAAAAGTTATCTACTTACCGCTTTTACAAAATACCGCTTTTACAAAATACCGCTTTTACAAAATACAAATGAAGGGAACGTAACTCAAAATGTATGTGAGGGGAAAATACCGGTCAGAAAATGAAAACAATATAATATCCGCAACCGAAATAACTGTTAAAAATTAAAATGCTTGAAAATGAAAGCAGTAGAAAATGTGCACAGTATCTTAAATTTAATAACATGAAATTCTCATGTAAGAACTTGATAAATACATAATAGTTTGTAAATTTAAATGTTTTTTTGTTGATAGATGGAACAGTTATAAGAGTAGAATGTAAACATGCGAGTTAGGATATGTGATGACGTGCTTGCAGGAGCTTTTAATGCGTGGGATGAAATGATTAAGTATTCACAACTTTTTCTGTTTCTTTCTCCGCTGTGAAGATTTTTAAGTTCTACAATACCTAGGCAAAAGAAAAAAAATAGTTTTTTAGTAGTAGTAAAATTGCGGGTGTTAAGATTTTTCTCTAGCAAGCCATCATATTGCATGTTTTTGGAATACTTACGTTACAGAACCTGTTCATATTACTATTGCATAACTTATCCTTGTTATTATGGAAGTAATTATGCAACAATATTAAATACAATGTACCTACATGATAATGAATTGTAAATTGAGTTCTTTTATTAATAACTCATGCTATATCTGATAATATTTGTAAACCTTTTCACCATTTGTGCAATTTGTAAGGAACAAGGTATTATATACATTGCTGGAGAATTATCTTTCGCTTGCCACTCCACCATGTCTATGTTTAATTTTTAAGTTTTCCTAAATACGATCTCATTTTATTTATATATATATAAATAAAATGATTATTTATATATATATTTTATTTATATATAAGTAAATGTCTATATTAATGTATATTCTACAACATTTCCGACATTATTTTAAAATTCGTGTTGAAGAGTTTCTAAAAAATATATTTTTCATGATTTCAAATTTAAAAAAGTGTGTCTTATTTAGCATAATTTTCACGTTTCATTATAGTTTACATTATAAAATGAATATTTCCTTTCTGAAATTTATCCTTTACCCACGAAGAAAAATTCAATAAAACTTCTAATGAAATAACGAAAATAAATGCCAATTAAAAGATTTTTCAAAACTGGTAAATACATGAAACTAATGGTTAAAGCTAAACTTTTTGCAATAAAATTCGTATTATATTCATAGACTAATATCATTTTATATTACTTTGGCAGTCCTTCGCATGGTAGGTGAGTTTCTGAATTTGACTCAAGTAACCAGAGAGGATATGGCAGCATATTTATGTATCGCTTCTAATGGAGTCCCTCCATCTGTAAGCAAAAGAATACTTTTGCAAGTAAATTGTAAGTATAGAAAAATTTTATTTTTTTCAAAGTATGTATTTTGTGTAGAAAGTTATTTTTTATGGAGTAAAATAAACAAAGGTAATGTTAATAATCTTAATAAAAACTAAAATTTAATGCCAACAACGGAAGTGCTATTATCGGATTGTAATTGCAGTCCAGTTCAAGTAAATTCAAGCTCATAATATATTTAAAGCATGTAATACAATTGCCGTCCTACATCAATTTTCATTAATCCAAAGTTGAAAGAAGTCATTGCATTCTGATGTATTGAGCTTCACATTTTATAATAAAAGTAAAGTTTGAAAATTTGATAGATATTTTTGTATAACTCTTATTTAATACACTTATTAAATGACTAATTATTTCGAAAATTGCTTAAAGCTGTTTCTTTATTGCAGAACACCAAAGATATGTCACATGCGTAACTGAAAAATTTTCAAACATCTCCCAATTACGTAATAAATATTCATACTGGATTGGTGTTCTTAAGGATTTGTTTGTTAAAAAAAGTAAAGCTGAAAATAATTATTTAAGATACAAATTCTTTAGTGGGAAAAATGTCATATTTTTAAATAGCATGATTTTATTGACAAGAGTTTCTGCATAAACGTCATATAGTATGTCTCAAGTTTTCATAGCTTCAGCGATAAATGTATTAATCATTAAAATGTACAGGAAGCTCCGATTATATTATGTTGTCTGAATGCGAGCATTGCTCAAATTACATAGTCAAGGTCAAATTATTTCCTGTTCAGAAACGCTGAGAAAGTGGTCTTGACTTTATATATTCTCAGATTTTTAGAGATATGCCAAGGAAAAAAAGATGAAATTTTAAAACAGCTTTCTTCTTCGTCTTCACTCAACCAGAAAGAGGTCACTCTAGAAAGATAAAGGACACATTAAAAATACACATATTCAGATAATGTAAACTGCAGCTTATGTCTTTACAAGAGCATTGTTCACACTGATTTTGCAACGCATAATATCACGCGAGTGTTGATCTTAAACTGCAATGTGTTTTGTTTGACTACGATATTGGCGCGGTTTTTGCTGTTTACTGCAGTTCATAATTTGGATTTTAAGTGTGTTCGTTTATCAGAAATAAATGCCACCTAAAAGCTATGGGACGCTATTTCTGAATCAGTAAGGCAGTTAACTTTTCATACGTCGCGAGTAACACAATTTCAATAACCCCCTTAGCTTTTTTTTTTTTTTTTGTTCTATTAAAAGAAAATCTATGTATTTGCACAACAATATGTGACGAGGATTTTTATACTAACTCAAGGATTAATAATTTTAAAATCTAGTATCATTTTAAGGTCTTCATTAACTAGTCGTTATTATCAACAGTTTTAAATATAAAAAAGCAACTTTTAAACAATCTAAATATCTGTCTTTACGATCCAATACGTACATTGTACGAAGGATTTTATTTATATTTCTGGCCTTGGCAACAGCAAGTGTTGCTGGGCGACCGCGGACGATTCCAGTCGAAACCTTGATAGTTTTAACAATAACAGCTTCACAAAATTTTGCCATTTTAGCGTGATTTGTGTTGTTTCCAGTAAACTGGAAAATTCATCTCGAGCAAAAATATGGAACTGATTCATGAACATTTTCGTGTGATTATTTTTCATAATTTTCGACGTGAATTATCAAAAGAAGAGCTCTTCGATATACTTAATTCTCTATACGGCGATAAAGCACCATCGTAAAGCACTGTAAAAAACTGGTATAACGAATTCAATCGTAGTCGACTTTCGCTACAGGACCAATTCCGTGAAGGTCGTCCGAAATTGGTTGTTAAGCAGAAAATATCAATGCTGTGCGCAAACTGACAAGGCAAGATCTTCATGTGATATACTGTGAAATTGAGGCATCTTTTGGGCATTAGTATGAAAAGCATCAATAAGATATTATATGAAAATATTCGGCCGTTAAAAAGATTTGTTCGCGTTAGATCCCACATAATCTGACAAACGCTCAAAAGAAGGCTCGTGTCGATTGGTGTGAGGAAATGTTAGAAAAGTACGTTCAAGGTGCATTAAAGGCTGTGTATAACATCTAAACAGGTGATGAATCATAGATCTATGTATATGAGCCCGAAACAAAACAGCAATCGACTGTACGGGTCTTCCAAGACAAGCCAAATAGAACAAAAGTTTTTCGCGGAACATCGAAACAAATGGTTGCCTGTTTCTTCGGCATTACCTGTTACGTAGTGGCAGTGGCGCTAGAGAAACGGAAGGCTGCCATTTCCGAATGATACAGGACTATTTGGTTTGCCAGAAGTCATCGGAGAAATTCATAAAAAGCAGAAGAGGTGAATCATGCTTCATCATGATAATGCAAGCTCTCACACATCGGCCAAACAAAGGAATTTCCGACGGGCCAAAACTTCGAATTGATGGGTCATTCGCCGTACAGCCCTAAGTTGGCACCCAGTGACTTTTTCTTAATCCTACACATAAAAAATAAATTACGTGGTCAGTGACTTGCGCCACCCGAAGAAGCAGTTGATGCATTCAAAACGCAAGTTTTGGAGTTACCTCAATCTGAGTGGAGAAAATGTTTTGCAAATATGTTCAAACGCATTCAAAAGTGCATTGATCCTCATGGAAGAATATTTTGAAAATCAATAAAACCAATTTTGATCGTAAGGATTTGCTTTTTTTATTATTAAGCCAGAAATATAAATAGCAACCCTGGTATATCTATCTAAAAGTAATTTTTTTATGATTTTTTATTAATTTGTTGAATGCGGATTTTTGGATTTATACTATGTAGAATACCTTCTTCTAGACATATGTAAATGAATAGTTTTTAACTAATGACTACCGCATCGATATTAAAATGCAACGGATAAATACAGCAATTTTGAACGAAGGGGGGGAAAACTACACTTTTTGCTTTTGGAATACTTATAATATTAGGTTATTTTGTGCTATTGAAAGTATTATTATCTGTCTTAAAACAAAGTAATTTAATTCTTTTTTTTTATTTAAAAAGAAATTTATTTGAACTGTGATTAGGGAAGCAATGTGATATGTTAAGAATGAGCAGGGAACAGGACTTCGAACCTTCCATTCACTCATAAACTTGTTTTGAGAAATATATCCTCTGTCCAAAACAACTGATAGAAGACGATAAAGCTTAACAATTATTCAGTTTGTGTGCCACGACTTGCGTCTAATCCAAAATGCCGAAACTAGTGTTCTCAGTTCATCCAAACTCCAATCAAATGTTAAGTTACAAACAGCACACATGTTGCTGATAGCTGAATGTTTACCCTGCCCTTTCCATGTTTATTTCATGACCTTAATTATCTCACGATACCTTCCTTACACGAAGCGTTTAAATACGGCTCATTTCTGCGGTAGGTTCAGTATCGCTGAATTTCAGCCATTCCGAACGATAAGGATTATTGTCCACTCAATATTTCATAATCGCATGTTGTTGTGATAGTTGCCATACGATTCGCCATTAACCATTGCTAAAGCTTACTTATCCAGCACAACCTTGCATCGGTATTATGATTTCATTTAGGACTCGAGTATCTCTAAGGTGTTTATATGAGGAAGTAAACCCAGGTTAACAATTTTCATTTTTAGGAAATGTCTTGAAAATGTTTTTACTGACACTGTTCAGCACAGATGAAATTATAATTTCTTTCATTTTCAGATTAAGTTAATATTTATTTAAGAAGTACTCAATTTATAAAACAATTATATAATAAATTCGAATCTAAATTGAAAGCAATATAATAAAAATGCTTTAAAATATTTTAGGTAAAAAAATAAGCATTTCTCTTTCGTACATAACATTTAGCTTATTTCTCAAGGCAGAAAAAATTCGCCATTATTCAAATCCAGATTGCTTTTCTCAACATATATTCTGTACATTATAAGATTTTTTTGAAAACTTTAATGCTTTTTACTGCGATGTAACCCTTAGTTATACATCAGCATTCCTGACTCTATGCTTTGTAATATCGAAACATATGCAAAAGTTGAAAATAAATGTTGGGCGAAATTGTAAATGGTGGTTTGGTATGTTCATTGCTAATAAATAAATTGCAGATGTAATCCAAATGTTAAAGTTTTCACATTTGCTAGAGTTCTGAAATATTACATGAGATTTTCCGTAAAAAAAATGTGTAATAGATCAGATCAAGATGAAATTTGTTTTAAGCTATTTACCACAATAGTTGAAAGGCTGGATTGCACAGTCGGTTCAGTCGAATGACCAGATATATATAAATTCAGCTTACACTGCTGCAAAATACTATTACTTATTTCTGCAGAAAGGATAATTTTGTAGATATGTAAGGATAGTATGCTTACTTCTCCCGCAGATTATTTATTCAAATCGCTGATACTATTTTTTTAATGTGAAGTTTCAACTTTTCTTTATGATAAATAAACTATATGATAGTGATATGCAACATGTCTCTTCAAAATGAAGTAAAAAGCGTCGGTATCTCTCATTTTAATTTATCGCAAAATATAAACTGTAATGTGAAATATCCAGAAAACTTAATCCTGAAATGTAATTGCCTTGTTTTGGTGTAACTTTTGAAAATGCTTTACAGAAAAATATTATCTAGAGTTTTGTGAGGAAAGTATAATTACAATATTTCATTGATGAATCACATATCTAACTTTCATGAATGCATTTTTATTGCTTTTTAATGATGAATAGCATTGAAGTAAAGTGGAACAGAATTTCAAAACTTATTGTCAAGTTTTCTTTAGTCCCCCCCAGCCCATAAAAATTAAAAGAGAATGCATAAAAGTTATTATGTGCGACATTTCAAACATTAAAAATTTATGTTTTCCTATTCCCATGAGCAAAACTTCATATTAAAATTATGAGATATAATATTTGTACTATATAATAGTATACATATATTGTAGGAAAGGTCTTTTTAGATTTCATTCTGAACTGTTTAAGAAAGGAATTTCTCCAAAGGAACGTTTATTGCCTATTTTAACTAG